ATAGATTGTAAGGAATTTTTTTTTGAAGGGAGAGTTATGTTTCGGGACTTGAATAAACTAATATTGTCCTCATCCCCAAGGAGGATTCGCCTGAACTGATATTTCAGTTTATACTTATTGCGCCATGTAATTTCTTGTACAAGGATATCTCAAAAGTTTTGCCAATAAATTGAAAGGTCTTATGCCTGTTTTTATTTCACCCCATTAAGCTGCCTTTGTCCCGTTTAGGCATATTCAAGATAGTATTGTCATTGCAAATAAAGTTCTCCATCACATGCGGTTGAAAAAAAAGGAAAAGGTTCTCTAGTTGGCTATCAAAATGAACATCAGCATAGCGTATGACAGGATTAAATGAAATTTTTTAGAGGCTACCCTACATTAAAAAAAAAATGTGATATGGGCGGTCTACTACTGATTTCATTATAAACTAAAGAATTCAGTGTGAATCTAGTGGACGCCATGAGTGGTGCCCTACGCTATGAACAGTCCAGTTTAATCGGGTCTCCCTACTAGGACGCACGTGGTGTTCTCGTAGTTTCTTTGGGGACCGAAAGTCGGTGGTTAATTAGTTTAAAACAAATTAGTTTAAATCAATCAATTAAGGTAAGTGGGGGCAAAAGAGAAAGGAGTGGTTAAACTGGCAACAGCTGGACCTTGAAGCGATTCTGTGCTCCACACGTTACCCGGAGCGAGCAAAAAAATGTCTCAATTTTCTCTCTCCACTGTCTCCCTTCCTCCTCCGTCGTCGTCGTCGTCGACGTCATCTGCTCTGCAGGTTTGCAACCAGAGAATCTTTTTTCGCTCTTTCGGAGTTCAAGATTGTTATCGTTTTTCTTCTTCGTCTTCGTGTTCGAAGCCGAAAGTAGTGGTCACCAGAGAACGAGGGAAGAACGGCAAGCTCATCAATGCTTTGGTACTCTCTTCTATCTTTAATCTTTTGCAATTTATGACATTTTATTTCGTGTTCAAGTTTTTTGACTTAGAAAATAGGATACATTACTTTCATCGGATGATTTGTAGAGTTGTGTTGTAGTTAATGGTTTCTTGTACTGGATATGGATTTTGACATGGGAAGACTTCCAGTTTATCTCTCTCTAGGAATCTTTGTTGGAACTGTTGTGCTATTATTAGTTTACATTCCGTTTACGGACGAGTTGTTGCAGTTCATTAGGTTTTTGATCAAATGCGTAAGTATCGCGTGTAATCACATCTTTACCGTAAGGGAAAAGGAAAGGTAAATGAACAGTGAATTGAGAATGAGAATGAAAAATGTTGTATGGAAAATGAAGAGAATTGGTTATTTTTTCAGATGATTTTTTGAGGGAAATTGAGATTAGGAATTCGGAATAGGAGAAGAGCTGTAGTGCCTACTTAATTATTATAGTTCAGCAGTGTCGTATTCTCTTGAAGCATCACTTTTGGGGATAGGAGTGACACTAATTTCTGGTTCTTCACGGACCAATAACCACATTATTACTTGATGGAAAAAAACAACCATATTACTAGTTAAGTGCCATGTGTTTGGTTAAGTATTCATCAGTAGATGTGCATGGTTAGTTAAATGTAATCTGTAATTAATATAGAATTTTCATATTGTCCCACAGGCCAAACATGGGATCAACTGTTTGGAGCTTCCCCTCATTCAGCACATGAAGTTGCCTGATTTGGATAGGCTTTGTTCAGTGTTAAGTGGTAAGTTCTCAGTTTCTTTAAGGTTTAACTTGGCTGAGTCATGTGAAGCTTTCGAGGTCATAGGCTGTGTTGGTGGTCACCTAAAATTAATTTGCTGAGAGACTAAATCTTTTCTTGAAGTCTTTTCTTCATTTTTCTTGCATCTTTCTGTCTTGCTTTTAAGTTTATTTGACATTACTGTTGGAACATCTTTTATATCACTTTTAGGTTCATAATCCCTGCATATGTGTAAGTTGTATGCTGAGGTCTGAATTGGTAATTTTAATGCCATAGTGAGATGTGGGCTGAATACAGTCTGTTGTCAAGGCTCTACCCTTTTGTGGTCCAATTAATGATCCAAAATTCACATGCCATTGTTTTCAAGGCAAATAAGTGGTAATACATTATGAATATTTGAGCTGCAGAATTTATTTGCTTAGTGTTTGTAGTCTTGCTTGAATGACTTGACTATTATTCTCATTAGAGTTTCTAGTGGCATATCAACATATTTGTTAGTTTCTAATGTTTGCATTTTTTTTTTTGGTTTGATTGGCAAAAAGAGGTATAAAATAATCTAGTGGATGGTTGTGCTGGAATTAGTTTCAGCTTAATGTTTATGTCAATTTGTTTTTGAAATATTGTTTCCTGAAGTTCCTTTCCCAAAAGTTTAGAACTCTTTATAAAACCATTTGTTTTCAATAATAGGTATGTCTATAAAATCATCTGTTTTATCATTGTTGCAGCAGACACTGCATTTGACTGGATCATCATAACTTCACCTGAAGCGGGTTCGGTTTTTCTTGACGCTTGGAAGTAAGGATTAAACATACTTGCAGAGTACTATACCTTAATGTGTTGTTATATTCCTACTTTTAATAATCTTCATTTCTAAACTGGAAATGGAATTTGTAATATAATTTGTCCTGTGGTTTTGATATTTTGTTATGATTGACATTGATTATTCATCTTTTGGGATGTGATCATTTTTAACCTGCAGATTATAACAACTCTAAGGTCAACCTAGCTTTGTATATGAGTGGCATGATTTAGTTATTGATTGCATAGTTTGATTTATGTTTTTTTCTTTCTTGTTTGCAATGAAGAGTAAGAACAGTTGCTGTGTTTTTGGAAATCTTGTAATTTGATGCAGTCGTACTAAGAATTTTTTTTTTGGTTATATATCAACTCCATGGATCCTTAGTTCTGTGACTCTAAAAAAACTAGAAATGCATGAGCAAGAAAACAGAGCAATCGCTTGTACAGAGATGTTAGATAAATTCTGTTGGATCTTCATTGGGCTTTCTTTAATAATTGTGTGCATAAAATCTACAGGATAACAAGCAATTCTCTATCTAAAAAGTGATGGTCATAATGCTTTATCCAAATAGGCATTGTATGATCCTGTATCCAGTCCACTATGTAAAGTTCAATGAGGTGTCTTAAAGAGATATTTCTTGAACTCTTTGGTCCTTTTTCGTCTTAATGACTGATTATCACCCACATTTGATGAACTTATTCTAACTTTTGATCCATAGAGCTGCTGGAACCCCGAATGTTAAAGTAGGTGTGGTGGGAGCTGGTACAGCTAGCATATTTGAGGAAGTTGCACAGTCGTCAAAGCAATACCTCGATATTGCGTTTGCGCCATCAAAAGGTATGTGTGCATGCCTTCCTATTTCCCATAGGGAGCACATGGATGCCATTTCTCATTTTCTGTTGCTTGTCTTCCCTTTTGCTTCTTTTGGTTGGCTATAATACCAGAAAAAAGCACCTCTCATTTGGAATCTCACCGCTACTTGCTGCTGGAATGAAATTATGATTCCATTTGTAAATTGTTTTTCAGCGATCGGTAAGGTTCTGGCTTCAGAGCTTCCAAAGCATGGGAATAAAAAATCCACCGTCTTATATCCTGCTTCTGCAAAAGCTAGCAGTGAGATCGGTATGTGTTATATAGATCTGGTTTGGTTAGATGTATTACGTGGTTGCTTGCTCTCTCTCTCTCTCTCTCTCACACACACACACTCACACACACACTATATTACAAGATGTAGGTCTTGTTTTGGTTACATCTGTTTATATTGAACGGTATTGTTAGTATCATGTTAAATGATATCACAAGCAGGATCAACCAGTAAATTGCTTAGCTACACTAAGCAAGGATTGCTTGTAGGGAAAGAGGAATGTGCTATGACATGAAAACATAAAAGTCTTCAATCTGCTGACTGTCCTTGAAATAATCCACCAAAGTAAATTAGTAGCTAAATTTTATAGTCAAGCATTCAGGAAAGGATATTCTAGCAAGAAAGAATACATGAAGATAAATTTCTTGAAGCTACTACCCCAATTTGCTTGTAAAGATGAAAGTAACATGGCTACATCAGCCAGATATGGGCAATTATATTGAAGTTGATAGCTATCCTTATCATGTTAAGATGAGAAATGCTGATATGAGAAAGTCAGAAATGGGATAAGGGGATCACTATCAATTTGGCCAACAGTTGAGTTGTTATGTTTCCATTCAAAACATCCTGAAAAAGGTGTGAAACATACTTGAATGATCTAAATTATACGACCTTGTCAATTATAGTCACCAGTACAGTTAAAAGATGGCATCCAATTTTTTCCCCTTTTCACCCATAAGGGGGACATCAGAAGACTGAACCGCAGATACACTGAAATTTTTCACAGCCTACTATTAAGAAATAATGGAAAAGAAAAAGTAGAAGAATTGAGGAGAAAATTGTGATTTCCATAAAATATGACTTTACATGGTTGAGCGGTAAAATGTTCTCTACCAAGATATGTACTCCTTGGGAACAGATGACATCTATGTTGGAAGGAGAACCGCACACAAAATACATCAAACTGAATTAGAAATAGGATTCCCTAAAGTTTTTCTTATTCTCATTTAACCTCTCCCCGCCATCCTCTCTCCAAATTACATCTAAAAGACATTTACGACTGGCATATTATATGATATGGGCTTTGCTGTTTGTTCTTTTCCTGCTGCTTCACCAGTAATTTATGTGCCATCTTTGGACTGCGATTTTCTGGATGGTGATTCACAGTATTATAAAAAATTGTCCATAATATTTCTCAATTGCATGGAGTTTGGTCAGTATGGCGTTGGACTGCTCAGCTAGAATGTGAACAAACATTATGGCTTAATCTGTCAGCTCAACTAAACTCAGTTGACGACGCCTCATCCCAAAGCCTTGTCCCAACTACTTAAAGTATCATGGTAGTGATAATGGTGATTTTTCATACATAAAGTCATAAAGTGCGAGTCAAATTTCTCGTTTTGGTAAGTTCTTGTCCTAGTTTATGGTTAGGAACTTAGGATAAACAGACACCTAGCTCAAGGACTGTAACATGTTTATGTTCTGTATTTGAGCTGTTAGTTTCGTTATTTCATTTTATGTTCTCTATATGTCATTAAAAATAAATTGAAATAATGTTGAGATAATGTTTTGGCATTCTTATTTCAGAGGAAGGCCTTTCTAGGCGTGGATTTGAGGTCACAAGACTTAATACATACAACACGGTACAATATTTAATTTCAATAGATTTTGTTGGTACTGCTGCATGGGTTTCCTGTTATTGATTGTTTTATTGTTTTTTTTACTTGTTAGAAAATAAGAGGCTTAAAAACTAAGTGTTTTAGAAATAAGGATGTTAAGATAGATGTGTGGTAAAATAAGAAAATGTAGAATTAGGAATAAGTATATTCATGAACCGGTAGAATTAGCATCAATACGAGACAAATTAAGAGAAAATCGACTTAGGTGGTTTGGACTTATTTATAGAATTTCTAGTCATGCATTAGTGAGGAAGAGTGATTGATATATGTCAATGGTATTGTGAGATATAGAGAGAGATTGAAATTAACTTGGAATGAAATAGTAAAAAAAGGTTATGATAGCTCATGGGTCAATGGAAAATATGCCCTTGATAGAGCACAATTGAGAAACAAGACTTATGTAGCCAATCCTAAATAATTGAGATAAAGGCTTTGTTGAGTTGAGTAGAGTTGTTGGAAAATAACTCCCATAAAATTCAGTGTATACAATAGTTTTGCAAGTTCCTATAGTATATTGTTCTCGTATTTAATGATGTGCACATATTCAGCTTGTAGCTGTTAGTTAGCAGAGATTACATCTCTCTATAGATCTTCAATTTGTGTAACTCTGGAAGTATGCTAGTGCTTCAGATTTGCTAATGGGATTCCCGAATTATGAATAAATTACTTTACTCATTATTATTGAAACTTTGAAGCACGTAACGAGTTTTCAACTTTTAGTATTCAAAGATGGAACATTTATTTTGCTCATGTAATTTTGCTTAAATTTCCATTATCTGTGTTTGCACTGTGTCTCTCAGTAAACATCTATAAATGGACGAATTACCCAATTTTAATTGAACTACACATTAAATTAGATTTGGTAGGTATTAAGTGGATGGTAGATGTGTGAGTCTATTTTTATCTTTTGCTAGGTGGGTTGAAGTGTATATGGTCATTCCGCACAAGGTTTCTTCCAGAAAGACCTTTAGGGCTCAGTGTTCTATTTCCATGCTTAGAAATTGGTGTTGAGGTTCAATCTACTGCGCTGAAAAGCGAAGGAAGGTACCGTGTGACTGGATTAGCTTCTATTTTCTGAGAATTATTATATAAAAATTAAAATTGGCTGTCGCCAGCTGTGTTGATGTATTCGGTGCTTCTGGTTTTCCCATTACTGTCGAGAGTTTACAATTTATATAACTTATAAGAAACAAGGACACAACATTAACTATGCCTGACGAGATGTAGTTCATTTGGTGGTTGATGATTGCTTTATGTTATGTCTGGCAGCCCCTGATTTCTATCAATTTCTTTCAGGTACCTGTCCATCTTGTGGATGAGATGGTTCTTGAACAAGCACTTTCTGCTCCTGTTGTTGCTGTAGCGTCACCTTCTGCCATTCGGTAAACTTTCTGTTGCATATTGTTACACTAGTTTTTGCTTGAATTTACGATAGCCATGTAGATTTTGTATCATATTATTTGCCAACACATTTTATACAGGAAGTATTGGCATTGTGAATGCAAGTGTAATGGTTAGCCACCCACATGACAATGCTAAATGTCACATCAGATACCTAGATTGAGCTTTGGTTTCCATGGTTGTCCTGTCTTCTAAATGCTATTGGATCAGGGTGATCATTTTTTTTTCATTGGGTACCTGGTGTACCATTGGTGAAGTGTTATCCCCCCCTCCCTTTTGTACTTTTTTATTTTTATTTTTAGTCTTTATGTACCTAGTGAATTCATCTTTTCTGTTGCCACAGTGTCTGGGTTAATCTTATTTCGGAATCAAAATGCTGGGACAATTCGGTTGCATGTATCGGTGAGACAACTGCTCTAGCTGCTCAAAGTTTGGGATTAAGAAATGTATACTATCCAACAAACCCTGGTCTTGAAGGGTAATCTCTTCTCTCCTGACCAATTTTAGGTGAATTCTACTCTAGCTAAAAGTTTTGTTTTAGGTACTTATCTATGTGTCTTTATGCTATGGGGAGAGCATGGTTATAGCACGCATCTGCAACATGCTGTAAAATTGTTGTTTCTTGGAAATGGTTGGGTTTGACACTGGGTGCAAAAAAGGAAAGGTTATTACTTGTTATTAGTCTCCCTAACTCATGGTGTTATTAATCTCTGAAATTAATTTTTCCACTCCCTACTTCACGGTGTTGGTAATCTCTGAAATTGGTTCTTCTACTCTGTAATTCCTTCTATTGTTGTTCTCTTATAATAAACTTCACTTTTCTATGAAATTCTTGCCCCCACCTCTACGTGAGAACAAACTTTACTATTCTTTGACATTCTTGCCCCCATCAGCACGCACGCCGTGGGTTGGGGGTGGGGTGGCGCAAGGCCGGCCTGCAGGTGACTAGGGTGGGTGTAAGTGCAGGATTGTCTCTGTTGTTTGAAACTGATCCATGATTCAGATGATCAAATTCCTTAAATTTGGCTTCAATATGTGTTCTTGACAAGGTTTTTATATTTGAAGAATTTTCCATGTTTCTAACTTAGTTAGCTTGACAAGTGTTTTCGTGGTATACTTTTACAACCTAATCTTTCTCCAGATTCTCCCTTCTTTTTTGCATGTTTTTCGATTCTTCTACTAAATCCCATTTCTTTTGCCTAGTATTTTCTCCTTTAAGTGTTCTTATGTCTTCTCATGTTTCAATTTTCTCATCTAATTCTTAAACACATTTCTCCCTGCCATATTCCCTCTGGACAAACACATTTTGGATTTTGGTTCTTTCCCATTCCATTTACCTTTCATTTACTTTTAGGTCAAGCACCCCTTATGCATTAGTCAGATGCTTACTTGAGTAGTTGAGTATAGTCATTCCTAAATATCATTTTTGATTTTTATAATAACATCTTTGTTTCTAATCAGAAGAATAGTCATTCCTAAGTGAATCATGGTGACTTGTGAGTGATTGATTCAAAAGTAAATAACTGAAGAAGGGGTAATTGGACAGGAGCTGGGTCCACATTATATATATATGTTAATTACTAGTGTTGTGTATGAACACTTCCTTTCAGTCCTAGTTTACAATTCTTGCGATTTTCTTAATTCATCTTTTTCCTGAAGTTTTTCCTCATATTTCTTGCCCTTCTATCCACTTGCACGCCTATTTCCTCCAGAATGCACCAATTTTAAAATAACATTAATAGTTTTGCCCTATGTAGTGTCTGAAGGCTCACTATTAATATTAGGTATCACATCAGATTTTGCATGTTGATCCTCTTTACTCTTTTATCAGGACTATACCCTTGACTATCTTTCATTGTCAAAGGTTATTGAGTGTGCATTTTTTTGTGTTCACAATCTTCTTTATTGACGTGATTGGTCATACATGGCCATACTATGGGAGGGTCCCATGTCGATTTGTGTAGACATGGACATGCATTAGGACACATGTTAACATACCACTTAATTCATAAGCTAAAGTGAAGCCCTACCCCTAGATCCCAAAATCTTTTCGGGCTTCATAAAAATCCTTAGTTCTTGATGTTTCCCTCTACATAATTAGGCATTTTAAGTTTCTTTTTCACACAAGAAAGAGCGGACTTCCACGTTTAAAAAGCTGTGTGTGTCACTGAACTTTTATGTTTATAGTTAAGGTACTCAATTTGTGTTATTCACATATCTTCCCAAATGAAAATCATGTCACTCCGACTCATTTTATGCTATGGGAAAAGGAGGAAAAAGGGATGACATAAACCTTATCTACGTAACCAATCAAATTTGTGCATGATCACACTTTCTCTTCTTTGTTGGGATGAAGTAACACATGGAAAACTTCAAACATACGAAGAAAAAGTATATAACAAATATATTTACAAAATTATATATGTACTACTTAAATGCATGTCCCATGTTTTAGTTTTTGTTGGTTACCATGTCGATACTTTGCACCCCTGTTTATGTCAGCAGGTCATAAGTTTATGGCTGGTTATGTATATTTACCATAAAATTATGAATGTTTCTGTGATTGAGGTTGTGTTTGTTGAAGATGATCATTTTGCCCAATTATTATGCTCCTAAATTTTGAGATCACCTGGTTTGCTATGTTTTTCTCTCCACATGGGTACGCATGCCCAGATATTCTCATCATACCGGAGCTTGCCACTTGATGGGTGTTTACCTTCCCCCTCCCCCAAAAGATGCATAACACACACACAAAAAAAAAAGAACTACCTCAATCAAAGAAGGGAAAATTGGCAGGGTTGTTTAATCTGGAGAACTTGTGCTCTTTAATCTTAAATCCCTCTGGTATTTCTGCCGGGCACTAACCGTCCCCCTCATAAGTTGAACTTTTGGCAGGTGGGTTGATAGTATTATTGAAGCCTTAAAAGTCCATGATCAATTTCAGTAGGTTTAAGAGTTGTCTATTGACACAGTCTTGTTTTTTCCCAGGTAAAGTGTATGGTAGCCTGTTCTTATCTTCTTTCGCCTATTATGATAAATACATTTGATCATTTTTCTCTCTGCCATCCCTGTACGTGGAAGGCTGACTAGGAGCTGACACTTGCAGGTTTTAAGCAGAGGGTAGAGTATATAAATGTCTATCCCCGTGTAAATTTGTAGAAATAAGGATGAGAAGTCTGGAAACATCAGGATATGAAGATGTCAAGATGTTTGTCATTACGGAGTAATGATGTATATTTGGTGGGAGACAAAGATGTCAAGATGTTTGTCATTGCGGAGTAAATCATGTACATTTGGCAGAGCTTTCTGTGAGGTAAGCAAAGAGGATATTAAGAGATGATGCTTTGTAAATTCATGTTCTCAAATTGTGTATACATCTTTCATGCCATAAATGTCTCATATTTTGTACCAAATTCTAATAACAGTACAGATTGTTTGACAAAGTACCCTTGATGAAACAATTGACTAGCACTAAGTGGATAAATTTTTACCTAGCAACAATTCACACTTCACTGTCGTTGGGATTAGTTTTATTGTGATAATCTCTTGGTGGTGCTAGTACTCAGGTGGAATTGGAGGGTCATTTTATCAATATGGGGAGGAAGTTTTCCCTGAAGGAAAGATGAGAACGTTAACGATCTCTATGGTCAGTACTCAGTAGCTTGTAACGTTTGTTCTGCTCCCCTGACTGTAGTATGGTTCTCTTGTACCCGCGTAGGCTGACAATTTTTGGCACGGTATGCTAATACGATATGCAATTATCAGGGTAGATTTGATTAGTTCTTGGCATGAATTTGAAAAGGATTCAATCCACTAACATGGATAGTAAGCCCCAGCCATGAATAACTCGATTTTGACATTACAAATTATTTTAGCTAGCATAGTATAAAGAAATTGTTGGTATTTTTATTTTTATTTTTATTGGGTTTTTGACCTGGTATTATGTGAAAAGTAATGGTATATATCACAAATTTGTAATCCAAATTTGCATCCCAAATCAAGGAGGACTATTAGATCAGTGGGTCTTATTTTAAAAAGTTGATGAGATCAACTGATCCAATGGTCCTCTTTGATTTGAGATACAAATTTGGGTTACAAATTTAGGATACATAGCACTACTCTTATGTGAATCCTTGTAAATTTAGATGATTTTGTTACTTTATGTTGTAAGCTTCTGGATTGAAAGGATTTTTAGTTTATGCAAGTAAAATACCAATGGAATGTTGGTTAAGTTGAGAGAATGAGGTTCGAATTCAAGATTTTTAGTTCAAGTGTTATGTGGGTCAACCTGAAAATGAATGAATAGGTCGGGTCGGTGTTAGATCATCTGATAATGACATGACCCGAACATAATAGAATACTGCTCGGCTGTCACCCTAAATCCAAGGGTGTACCCTCCATCCTGTATCATTATTAAATTATTACAAGAAGCAGTTGGTTGAATCTGGCAATGGGTGGCCAAATAACCAAAAGACATATTGGACATGGCCGCCAAGCAGTATCTATTGGAAGTTAATCTCATCAGAGTACATAATTTCCTGAAATTCCTCTTAGGCCCAAGGCTCTACCAAAAAACCTGTATATCCCTTCTTTATTTTGTACTCTGGGCGTTAAGACTTTATTACAAGGTAGACAATACAGTACAATGCAGCAATCGAAAATTTAGCACAAGTATTTTATGAGGGTAATGAATTGTGGTGATACAAATTCAAGAGCCAAGGCTCCTGTATAGGGGTGTTAGCTTTGATACGTCGACGTGAGACATGATACGATTCTAAAATTAATATGATTATTAAATAAACATAATAAATGGTTTAGATTAATGTTTGATATTCAGTATATATTAAATAGTTTTTTTTTTTGAGGGTTTTGACATGAATATTACACGAATAACATAACACAAAAATATTCGGTTCGTGGGTTACACGACGAATTGACACCCCTACTCCTGTGTGGTCAAGATGGACGAGGTGCGGGGAAGATATCAAGTACACATGTTCTTACCGAGTTCTCAGCTAAACTGTGTGAAATGTTTTGCAAGCGTGGACTTTGAATTTTAATCTTTTGGGTTTTATATTTGTTGATTTTTTCCTTTTATCCTTCTAGTAAAGCCTCTCTTTTTCGATTTTTGTTGTTGTGTTTTTTTTTTTTTTTGTGTAATTTTTTTTGTCATAATTAGGATTGATAATCAAGTTGATTCGAATGAGCTCGAATCAAATCTATCGAACTCATTTTTTTAAATGAACCAAAAAAAATTATTCAAGCCGAGTCTGGACAAGTCCAAAAAGAACAGAAATCGAGCTGAATTGAGCTCGAAAATATATATATAAACAAGTTGAGTCTTGTCGAGTTTGAATAGAGTCTATTGAGCTTGTTTTGTAAACGAGTCAAAAAAATTATTCAAATTTGACTCGCTTAAAAAATGAGCCAAATCTGAATCAATCAAAAACGAACTAAATTCGAACCAATTATCAACCCCAGTCATAATGATGGACAACGCAATTTACCGTAAGTATTGTGGTGGATTGGTCTAGATGTGCTTTCCAATCCCAGCCACTAAATACACAACCATCACAGAAATAACTTGCACAAAACGTAGTCTTTAATTATAATTAAAGATAATATAATTGCACTTTATGTTAAAAGAGCAAAAGACAGTATTAAGCATTGGGCAGCAAATTGCTGTAACTTCCATTCCCTTTATAAGTAGTCCATAAACTGCAGTGCTTGTACTCTAATATGCAGGAAGAAGCTGCCCATTTATGAATGAAGAGAAGACCGCGAGGGACCGGATTGGCTGATCCCTAGGAGTTAAATGCCCAGATCCTCTAATGGTCACAAATGTCAAATTTTGATACTCAACCACGTACCCGCCAACCTGAATAGGTAACAACATGGTTTAGCTATTGTCAGAGTTTGGTTCAACAATCGAGGAAATGATTAATATCGGGAAATAATATATATAACTGTTAAGTTATTACCTCTTTATTAATGTATCAAGGACATGCTTGTTTCGAATATAAAATAAAGATGGTATAAAATTTTATATTCATTCCATTTAAATTTAATAATATATTATACCCGATGTTAAATTATAATCGCATCCTTCTTCTTATTTGTTTATCACAAATATTATATGTGTAATACTTATTTAAAAAAAGTCAACAATTATGACTAACCAATGTAAAATATAATTTTAACTTTTAAAAAGTCAAAATTACGGCTAGCCTTTTATATGAGAATTGTACTCAAGTACATTTCGATCTTTTTAGTTTATAATACTTATATCAAAAATATAATATCACCCCTTAGGTGGTATTCATTAAGACCTTCTACAAGGCATTATGACTACTGTTCATAGTAGGTCAGTATTACGATCCGAAAAATAGTACTAACTATAAAATGTCAAACAAACAACGTATAAGATGGATCCTACGTACTATTTTTCTAATACCACTCTAATACTCAAAACAAATTGTCTCAAGGGTACAATGTAGTTTTAACTGAAGTTTTCAATTTCTTTACGCCATACCTAGTGCTTGTTACTGGATATTCACCATTTGTATCGCCACTGCAAAAATTATAATCATTTAGTTTAAACAAATTCGAATTTGGAGTTTTTAAACGATGGTGCTTATGCTCTTATATGGAGGGGGAAGATGCCCATTTATATGAAAGAGGGGAAGACCATGTGGGGCCGAGCCGATTGATTGAGGGGAGCAAGAAATCCAATCCTTTTAATCTATATTATTATAAAATGTCAATTATTTTTAAAAATTTTTAATTTTTAATCTTGCTATTGGTTATTCTTATAAAGTCAACAAAATCCTTGTCCTTTCACCGTTTTATAATGAAAAGATTTGTTGTTGTTGCCAATTTTACCCTTTTTGAAAATTATATAAAATCCATTTTGTTTGCTATGTCCCATCACTAACGCCTAACTAATGCATCTGGCCATTCAAATCTTCATCATCATCCTGTCTCATCATGTTCCCCCACCAGTAAACTCTTCAATTAGCGATTGCTATGAATCCTGAGAATTAACGTGGAATCAAATTAAGGGTTGTGTCAATTTTAAAAAAAAAATGTACTTTAATTACAAGGTCTTTACGTTTACACCGAAAATCTTAGTTTCGTCGATACATAATGCAGGATTTCTCTTGAGCAAATAGTTTTTCAATTGGTTGATGGTTACAATCACCCAAGGTTTTCAATTTTGGGAGAAGAGTCGTCAATTTTAACATACAATATTTCATATTCAGTTATGTTAAATTTTCTGTAGATGTTACATTAAGAGAAAATTAAGTTTATTTTAACAAATTACACTTGTTACATAGCTATATATGCATTGTCACGGTTACGTGGAGCATTCAAAAACAGAATGAGATCCTTTTAATTTCATTTTCACTCAATTTTATTCAATCATAGATCATCTATTATAATACAAAGGGTCCCACTATTTATTAGTTGGTCCGTTATCCACCGTTTAATAAAATTAGGTAAAAGTGTAATTGAGATTGAATGTAGATCCTTCTAAAATCACATCTGTCTAGCTTAAACGAATAACTGGACAATATGTGTCGAGGCATTGAATATAACTGGCACAAAATGTAGTTTTTAATTATTAGATATTATAGTTGCACTTTATGTTAAATGAGCAAATAGTTGTAACTTCCATCCCCTTTAAGTAGTCCATAAACTGCTGTGCTTGTACTCTAAATATGGGACCGGTGCCTGAAAGTATGGTATTATAGAAGTGAGAAGTCACAGATTTAGAGTGGAGGAAAAATTCAATAAGAATGATTTTGAAAGAGATGTTGATGGTCGTTAAATGAGTCTATTTTAGACCATCAGATAAGTCTATTAACGTGTATCCTCTTTTATATTATAGATATATAGGGAGAAGCCGCCACTTATGAATGAAGAGAAGACCACATGGTAATTTTTTAATAATTAGAGTAACGGTGAGATTCAAACACAAGACCTCCTGTTTTGATACTTTATTAAAGAATCATCTACTTCAAAAATTTAAACTGACAAATAATGTGTAACTTTAAATATTTATACTTCAGCAATAGCTCCTCTAATGGTAACAAATGGCAAGTGTTGTAATGTGCCTTAAAAAATGTAAGTGTCTGTTTGGATATGTTTTTAAAAAAGGGTAGTGTTTCAGAATTTTTTTGGTTATATAATTTCGAAAATAATTTTACTAGACTAAAGATAGTAAAACATGTTTAGATAATGATCCAACAAGTAATTAAAATATGGTATATAATTTGAATTGACTCTTTGGAAAAAATCCTTTGAGAAAGAGCACGAGGGTGAGGGCAGGTGTAGGGTGTGTTGCCATGATTTTTTTTCTCAGCCAATATTATATAATTAGTTATTGTATGTGTCTGAAAACACAGAGTAATAAAAAAATGATAAATAATAAATATATTTGTATTTTATTTAAAATTAAATTACAAATATAGAGAAGAGATAAAGAAATTTAAGCATCAATTTGTAGTGGGGGTGAGAGGTGGTGGGTGGCAGTGCTAGTGGTAGGAGACGATGATAGATATAGTTGGTGACAATGACTGTGGTGGCGGCGAGGGCGGCGGTGATGATGGTGGTGGTGACGATGACAACAGTGATGATGGCGGTGTTGGTGGCGGTGGCGGTGGGGGTGGCGGCGACGGTAGTGGTGGCAGTGGTGGTAGAGGAAGTGGTGGGGCGATTTCAAATACTAATTTTTTTTTAAAAATATTTATGAAAAATAATTTCTTGAAGTAATTTTAAAAAATCACTACAAATATATCCTTAGAGGCTTATTTTTCCTATTGAATTTAGGGTGTTAATATTAGCCGTTAGATTAACTTTAAAGTAAAATTTAAAGCGATCTAAATCGCGAATAGCAAAAGTCATTTTGTTTATCTTTTGAAATTTGATTTGTAAGTTTCTTTATTATATAGATATGTGGACGAAAAAGGTTTACTCACAAAACTTTTAACATTGCATTACTTGATGCTATAAATTAACCCAAGTAATTAACAAAAAAAAAAGAAAAAAAGAAAGAAATAAAACTCAAGGATAAAAGACAATTATTGAATGCCCATGGACAGATTTCAAACAACAAAAAATTATCTTCAAAAATTGAACATGGAGCAAATATGTCATTCTTCTCCTCATTGCGAAGGAGGCAAAATAAAGGCAACAACATAGATTCTAAATTTCTAGTTTATATAGGGTCATATATAAGGAGAAAGTCAACCTTAAAAAAATATGTAAAATCAATCGACGAGAAAACACGAAGCACATGAAAAGAGCATTCTTCAAGAACTTGTTAGAAGCCGATCAGACCTCTTCTCGTCAGCTTGTGCCACTTGAAGGGCCAGAGCTGCCAACGAGACTAAGGGGTTTGAAGGAATCGATTTTGCTAGCTTTGGAAGTGGAGTGAAAGACATGTACGAGAGAGAGAGAAAAAAATATTTTAAATGATGTCTTTAAGTGCTCAATGGATTATATCTTGTGTTTTCAATTTTTTGAAATTAGTGTCTCTGTAATTCAGACTTTTTCTTCTTAATTTTTGAAAAACTAGATACAAAATTCTGATGTCCAAAGTTTTCTTCTATTTTTTATATTCGAAAACAAGAAAATTATTTTACGGATATAAACGAAGCAGGCCCTAAATTTCACATTACCATATGATTTTCTTTCAATTCCTTTTTTCCTCCCAATTTGGAGCATAAATTTGTGGAAAAAGAATAAAAAAGAGGTGCATTACTTCCATTTAAAAAAATATTGTAAAGCAGACTTTAATCTTTGAATTGATAAAAAAATAAAATAAAATTAATCTAGTAAGGGAGAAATTACCATTCGCCCTTATGATAGAAAAGAGTGTGTTCTCTGTTCCTTTGAGTCAGGATTCTACTGAGGAGCATCAATTGCTGAGTCCTACTCCCCGAAGTCATGCTTTGGCAATCGGAAGCAGAATGCTTGAGGCAACAGCTGCTTGCAAGAAAGCTACAGGCAAGTTTTGGGAGAAGATCTCTCGTGGAGGTACTGCATAGTTGGAACCTCCCTGTGTACTGCTTCTTTGATGAATTGGTTTCATGCTTTGTTTTTGTCTGCCATTGTATTCTTTTGTCAACAAGTTCATGAGAGATGCTCTCATTCAGGGCATCTTTTACAGGCTTATATTTTGAGCATTGACTTTTGAGTTTTTGATGTTTGTCTTTGAGTCTTATGTAATTTCGTTATACATTTTGTGAGTGATTACCTTTGTTTCTTGTTTTAATACAATTTACCTTCGGAAAAAAAAAGAGATAGTCAACAGTGATTAACCTTACAAAATACAAGTCCCAAGTGGAAGTGAGGTTTTGATGGTTACCATTACGCCTCTCAATCGTGTTGGATGAGAAGTATTTATGTCGGATCTTAGCGGATTCATATCAAAAAATATTCTACTTATACTTGATCTATTTATTAATTCGTGTTAAATAAATCGTGTCATATATTTCTTTTAATTACTTCACACATATTCAATTTGTTTATTAATCATGTCATATCAGATCCACTAATTTAAGAAACGGGTGACTTAAAAAAAAAGTTAATCTCATTTTGTACCCCGAAAGATTGTTCAAATTTTAATTTGCACCCTCAAAGATAGAAATTTGTATCAATGTGCACCCCCAAAGATCAAAAATCTCAATTTACATCCTCAAAGATAGAAATTTATATCAATTTGCACTCTAAAGATAAAAAATCTTAATTTATACCCTCAAAGATAGAAATTTGTATCAATGTGCACCTAAAATTAAATTGATAAATTATACCTAGATCCCCTCATACTTGTCACTTAATCATTTAGACCTCTTCACATTTAGAATATTACTCCTACATCTTATGACATTTGTGCACGTATAACACGTAACCCATTTTCATTGATATCTATTAATATAACCGTTAAAAAATATAATTTTATCCTAATAAAAAATTATAATTTCATATTACCCTTTATTTTATGGGTTCAATATATTCTAAAGTTCAAAATCTAGTTTACCATTTAAATGTCTAACAAAATGTAAATATTTATATAATATTTTTCATATTACCTTTTATATAAATATCTACATTTTATTAGACATTCAAATGGTAAGCTTGATTTTCAACTTTAGAGTATATCGAATCCACAAAATAAAAGGTAATATAAAATTATAATTTTTTATTAGGATAAAATCATATTTTTTAACGATTATATTAACGAAAAGTTGTTATGTGTTACACATGCACAAACGTCATGAGATGTAAGGGGAATATTCTAAATGTGAAGGAGTTCAAATGATTCAGTGACAAACATGAGGGGATTTAAGTATAATTTATCAATTTAATTTTAGGTGCACATTGATACAAATTTCTATCTTTGAGGGTGCAAATTGAAATTTTTTATCTTTGGGGATGCACATTGATACAAATTTCTATCTTTAAAGGTGCAAATTAAGATTTTTGATCTTTGAGGGTGCAAATTGAGATTTGAACAATCTTTTAAGGTGCAAAATGAGATTAACCCTAAAAAAAAAATACAAACCCTTTATCTCGTGTCGTGTTAATGAATTGTGTTATATTTTAACACCTCTAATTACCATCCTTACAAAAAGAATGTTACATAAACTGTGATCCAAATTCGTTTGGAGGGAATCTAAATTCGTAGATTTTTGGTATGTCTCTTTCACCTTCTTTATTTTCAGTTTTTTGATCTTTTTCTTTTCCCATCCTCTTTGTTATTGTGCTTGCTTGTTGTTGTGTATATCTTCTCCCTATTTGTTCAGTTTTTTGATTTAATTTATTGTAATACTTTGTAGAACTAGTGTTCGATTCCAACCATTAATATACCGTTGTCAAAAACACAGCGAAAAACTTCAATTTAATCCGCGATAAATAGTTTTAATTTGATAATATAGTTGCATTTTTCATTCAAAGAGAAAATCAAAGGAAACTATTAAGCATTTCATATTGTTGTAGCTGGAACTATCATCCCACAATTAGTTCTTAAACTCCAGTGCTTGTGCTTGAATATGGAGGGGGTAGCTTCCCATCTAGGAACGACGAGAAGACAACGAGGGACCGAACCGGTTGATCGCTAGGTGCAAGATGTCCAGCTCCTCTAATAGTAACAAATGTCAAATTTTGATATTCAACTACGTAACCACCGACCTGTGTATAAGCAAATCACTTAATTAGACTATGTAAAATAATATTGAGATCTTATTTATCACATGTTTTCTCAATTTTACTTAATGGTTGATCACCTATCATTAATACAAGTGAAATCCATTATTTATAATTGAAGTCCTCACCCATAAACGTTGTGTGTTTTATTATTATTGAGTGAAATTAGTTATGATTACAAGGCATTACCTCTTCTTTGACATACCAAGGGTACCACGGAGTCTTTACGGAAGTCTCCAACTTTTTTATGGCATATCTAGTTGATGTTACTGGGTCTTCAGCATTTACATCACCACTGCAAATTAGATTCTGTAAGTTCAAGTCAAGAAATTAATAAATCTTCTTCTTGATTTTTTTTTTATTGATAGGTCTCGATAGAAAGTTTCAAGTCGTCTTGATTGTATTTCGGATAACCACTTACCTATATATCCATACTGGAATTCCACTTGCCATCAACCCTTGAATGATAGGCAACACGGTTAATGCTTCATCTTTCAACTGTCTAAAGATCTCGATACTATTTTCAAACACATCCAAAAAAAAGGCAAGAGAGATAAACAAATAACATCAGGTGAGTGAAATTGACAGAAACCTAACATTTTTGAAGCATAATAGAAATGTTAAGATGAGTGTGTGATAGTACGTACTTGCAGAACTCCCATTGTTTAACATTTGCATGGAGAGCTGTCTGAACTTCAGGAACATTTAAATAGGAGAGTACATAACTTTTCGAGCAGGGATCAAATTCTGGGACCTTTTTGTCAACGTTAAAAGTCAAGATTAAGACATTAATGCAAAAAAGGAACCAGTAAACTTAGATTTTCACCAAGGATTTGCACAATCCACAGAGTTATACTCACAATGGTAGGGTTTGAGGAAGAATTGCATGGGGCGGCATATATGTTCCTGCTAGAGATATTACCAGCGGCAATATCTGATTGCTCAAGTAATCCCATACAAATTTTGGATATAGCAGTTGGCGAAGAAAAATTGCAGTTCGATATAAGTGCTGTGTATATCTCATCTGAAATGAGGGCATGCGCCCAGTAATAATCCACCACTCCTTGGATGAGTGTTTCATAGTCGATGTATGGATTTCCCATCTAATTTTAAATCAAAACCTTCTCATATTAGTGTCATAGCACTACACAGAATAAACATAATAGCATAAAAACATGTATAAGTGACATACTATATTTGGCTAGACAATGTTAGACAGTGGGAAAGAAAAAAAAGGTCCTATTTAGTTTAGGGTGAATTGTATTTTGCACCTCAAACAATTTAAAAGTTCTCACTTTGCACCCTCAAATATTAAGTTTTTTTCATTGTATCCTCTATATATTAAAAGTGTTGCAATGTGACCTTTTTATTAGCTTCCGTTACTCATCACATCCTTGTCAGTGGGGTTGTTTTTTGATGGAATGAGCAACAACAGCTAACAACATGGCCTTATTGCAATAATTGGATCTTTGAAGGTATAAAGTGATAATTCTTAAATCTGTCAATATGCATAGTGCGATTCTCCCTTTAGTTTACATGTATGTATGGAAACTTACAACAATCCCTCTCAAATTGATTGTGGCTTGACTTGTATGCTTGTTGTTATCAAGTATTAGCTGAGCAAGCTTGGGTGCGTAATGGCCTGCATAGCCCTCTGTTACGATAAAGAAGTCTCTAGTCTTGTATTCGGAAAATCTTTCGAACCAATTAACTAAGAAGGTATATGAATCCCGCACAATAACGTTGTCTCCACTCAGCTTGTAATTTGTTGTTCTATTTGAGTACGAAAATCCAGCACCAGCAGGAGTTTCAAGGAAGATGACATTGGCAACTAAGAGAAGTTCAAATATTAAATTCATTATATTAGTTAGCATATTGAATAGTTTGAAGTTTGAAGTACTCATAATAAGATTTATAGGAAACTCGAAGAGCTCACCATCAGTCCATGCATATTCATTTTGATACAGAGTTTTGCCATCTTTGCCAACTCTAAATGGCCCGACCTCCATCAATGCTCCAAGTCCAAATGCAGAACAGCCGGGCGCTGCCCAAACCATAACATTAGTGATTGATTATCGATGAAAATGCAACAACAATATGAAACAAGGATTTATGATTTAGGGTTTAGGGTTTAGATGGTAATTTTTTAATAAGAAATTTGAATAATTCAATCTAAGATTCTACATATCACTTTTAGTTGGTTTAACATCCTATTCTATTCTCCCTTTTCCTTGGCACCCCGGGGTTTGGCCTCCACAGTCTATAGAGGATTACCATCCCTATTGGAGAAGCTACCAAATAGATCATATGGTCAATTGATGTTAAGAAAGATTACAAAAGTTATCACTTGTTTTCAATTCCATTGATCGATGTTAAAAAAAAAATGCCAACAATATCCAAAAAACTTGACACGTGATGAGTTAAGAAAATGTGTAAACGTATTATACCTCCATTTAGCCACAGCACAAGTGGCTTAGTAGAAGAGTTTTGAGGAGACTCAACAAAATAGTAAAACAATGCACGTTCTGCATCAGCCTCTATCGTAACATATCCCGAATATTGATCAAAGTTTATTCCATCCGGCTGTCCAGGCAAAGTTGTAATCTTATTCTGTTCTTTTAGCCCAACTTGAGGACCCATATATGGAGGTAACCCGGTAGACGTATCAAATGCAAAACTGTCTAACAACGGTGATCCCAGGGAGTCGAGTGACTCCTTGAAATCAAAACCTGAGTCATCACAGTGAATAGATCCGACAAGGCAAAGGAGAAAGAAGCAAAGTAATACAAATCTCGCCATTGTTCGATCTTGGAAGATGAAGGGAAGAGTGGTGCTGCTATTTATATACTCCAATTCATGTTTAATTTGTTCAAGTTGCCGGATGTAAAGCATTTTTTGGTATATAGTTGTTGTTTCGTAGTTGTTGTTCTATCTATTTGTAATTTAATATACCATAAATTAAGTTGTATTACTATTAACTTGGGTGTGGGTGGGGGCGGTGGATTAACCGGATAGATAACTCAGTAGTGTGAAATTAGTTTTACACGCTCGTAAACTTGAACGTATTGGACTCAACTTGCATTAACGACTCTTGGGTTTAATAGACACTTGCAGTTATTGCTGAGTATGTCTCTAGTTTATTGCCGATATCTAGGTTTTATTCTACAATGATGATCCTAATGTGCCTCTGCCTTGAAAATTACTTGTCCATACTAAAAATTGGGGAGGATTGATCGAGGAACAGCTACACAAAATAAAGAGTATGCAAATAGAAATGCAAGTAAATATTAACAACACTATTGTGAAGACAACTATAACAAAAGAAGTCTAAATAGTGAGAGAAATACAGTTGAAAAGAACAAAATAAAATGTTTTATTTTGTAGTGGATTATATATATCTAATATTATATCTAAGAAGTTGAATTCAATTTATAAAAATGCAATAATTGTCCAAATTGATCTAATATCCATCTAATTTGATCAATTTGTACAAAATTCATCCCAATTTTTTTTATTAAAAATATCATCTTTTCTACACAACTCTTAATGCCAAATAACTCAACCAACACACTATTCAATGTCAAACAATTCCATTAATCCGCATCTACCTCTCTTTCCTCTCTCCACTACATCTCTCTTATTTTTTGTGGGACCTAATTTGATGATATAATAATGTGTCAAGTAATAGAATCACAACGAAGAAGTCCACTATTTACAGTCACAACAATACTATTGGACAATGTAATTACCACGTCATTAGGTCATTAAATTATATCAATTTTTTAGGTCCTAATAGTATTACTCTTTTCTATATGTTCAAACTAATTTTAAATTGTGTAATCCAAAAAAAATTACTATTTAAAATATAAATATTATGCAATCAATGTTCAATTTTTAGTATTGCAAATGTCTTTAGACACAGGGTTATTGTTAGTTTTTCTATATTAAAAAATATAATATAAAGTTCTCGAATGTGAAACATTTTATATATTTAACGTTTTGGACTTGTATAATATTATCAATTTTATACTAATTTGTATCGTTTTAGCAATGATACCGAATCAATTAGACAAAATAAGTAGTTCAGGAATACATTGAGAAAGGCCAAGTTACTACTTTTAGTGGTAATAGTATACTTTTTGAAAGGTAAAATTACAACTGATTGATAGAAGGTTATTATCGATTATGGTTTTCATGCGCAATCATCGAATTCAATTGAATAGTTATAAATTTTCCTTTACGAGTTATAATTTGACCTTAAAAATTATAACTTAACTTTTGAAAGTTACATTATTTACATGATCAACTGTAATGTTTGAGAACCAATCATATTTTTTACAAGTTATATTCGATATGATACCGTCATCAATATCGTAGTCTTTACCAGATTGTTAATGGGTCACAAGCAGCCGAAGGGAGAATCACTTGTATACATCAAAGGTTCAAGGAAAGCATCACATAATGTTTGACTTATATAATGATGTCTAAGTGCCTCATGGCCGGTATATATATTCTTTTTTTGAAGAAATGAAACAAAAACTTACTGACAAAATGCTTGATCTTTGGCTGTTATGCTTATAGCCTTTTGTTGAATTTAATTAGGTTCTGCCGATCAAATAAAAAATAAATAACTAGGATTGTGTTATGTAAGAAGTTTATATGCTTGTACTTTAAAAAATACACACGTCAACCTAACCTTATCTTTATAACTTTCACCATTTCATTTATTATTTTACATTTGGGCAAAAAAAAAAAATTAACCCCCCTGGTTTGGCTATTTTACACATCACCCGTTTATCGTTTTAAAATATGTACATAACTCCCTTATGTTATGGACTAACATGAGAACTATGACCATTACAAATTTCATTAATTTGAATGGATTTTGTCATACATGAGCTTAACTCGAGATTATCCTTAAATTTTAAAAAAATTGAAAGGTCAAAAATGTCCTTAAAATTTAAAAAAAAAACCCTCTCTCTCTGCGCAAAACCTTCACCAGTCACCCCTCTACGTGTGACTTTCTCTTAGAGAGACAGAAAGATAAAGAGGTAAAAAATTATATATATGATTAAAAATACTTGATTAAAGCTTAGAGAGACACACAGAAAGGCGGCCATTGTTGTTAAACGAGAAGGAAAAAAGAAGAGATAATGAGGGCATTAAGGTCTTTTTGTTATTTCTGTTAACAGAATTGGATGTTTATCTTAGACTAATAACACAAGGAGAGAACCAACTGGGATAGCTCAGTTGGCCAGAGTCTCTGGCTTTCCAGTGGGAGGTCAGGGGTTTAAAATTCCTTGGGCGCAAAAATGTGGCTATTTAATAGGATAAGACCTCAGTTATTTGAACGAATTATATCCAAGTCTCTGGTGTGGGTCTTGAATTCGTGTCTATCTCTATATGTCTTATCCCCTTTTCTCTCTTCACTATTGTCAATACTTTCGCATCAAATTTGATACTTCTCTACTTTTTGTCTTATCTTTGATTCGCCGTTTGCAATTATTGTCGTTAATTTGTACATTTTTTTTATTTCATTAATATATTTCCACTTGTCTTGGTTGTAATATAAATTAAATTTTTTGGGTGCTAATTTTTTAACTTTGAGGCAGGCCAATCTTAGTTGCCGAGTATATGGAAAAAGTTTAGGTATTGTTTGATAAAACTAAGACTTCAATACTGAAAGTTGAATTTTAAGTGTTAAATTCCGAATTTTATTCATAGATTATTTAGTATCCATAGAAATTTAAATACTAAATTAAATCAAATTGTTTGATTAGCACATCAAGCTAACATCTAAAAATAAATTATTTTTTAGTTTTACCCCTTCATTCTTTCCTTTGAAACCATTTATGAAACATGCATTTATTTAATAAAAAATTAAGATACGTCATTGTTATCGCATTGTAGTCTACATTTAAGAAATATGGTAATAAAATTAACTCAAGGTAAATTAATCACTTAAAAGTTGTCAATTTTCATAAAATCTAATTTGGCCCATTTATATTGTAACTGATATTTTTTAGTCGCAACTTCAAATCAAATAAATTATAATAAATATCTATTTAATTGTAGGTTTTGATCCGGTACTTTTTCGATATTGTAGTCTTGTCACATATCAGTTGGGATTATATATATATAATTGAAAACTTTGATCAAATTTTCGCAAAATTCTTTGGGGGACTTTATTTTTCCAATTTTAATAGGATCTTAAATCTACTTCAAAATTTTAATCACATTAAAAATAGTTGTGATAATCTGTGTGTGTGTGTGTGTGTGTGATGATCTTTGTGTGTGTTTGTGTGCAGCGTGTGTTTCATTATATAAGTGTGTACGTATGATGTATTTTTGTTTATGTGGAAAAAAATATTTATTATAATGGTTATATTATGTGACAATATTGACATGATATCACCGATCAATAGTATAAAAACAAATAAATAAATGGACCCTACAAAAGTTAATAACAAATCTTTCATGTAAGTAAATAACTACTCACTCTTTTTTCATATAAGCAAATAATTATTTAAATGAAATTCACTTTACACACTTGATATTTTATTATTATTGGCATGATATCATTATTATATTCAATAATTACTAGTGCGGAAAAATTGTGGTTATGTGTTCTGTCTGTGTGTGAGCAGAACAAGATAGGAGAAGAAGTGTTTGACTAAGACGATGAAGGCTACGGAGATCGGAGGATTTTGGAAAAAAAAAAAGTCACTTAGAGTTTTAGTTGGGTTGTGAAATATTAAAAAAATGATAAAAACTGCTCATTTTGAAAGATTTCAATTTTCAGAATAAAGTAATGAATTTTTTATTAATATTTTATTCTATTTTTTAAAAAAAACTTAATATATTAAAATATTTTCTTTTTAATTATTAAATAAACTTTATTATTAAATATCTAATACATTCATTTTAATTTTAAGTGTTTGGTTTTATTTTAACAAACACAACTGGCGTTCTTTTGCAGCGCGTCAAAGTGTTGGACACGAATGGATGCACCACTGACGATTGTTGCATCATTCTCGCTCCTCTTCTTTTTTTTTCCTCCTACTTAGAATTTCAACACATAAATTATTTTTTTGAAAATTCGATGTAACCGTCCGATAATTGATCCGAATCTGTTGATCTCGTTTTTTTAAATAAACTTAAAAAATTATTCAACTTTAACTCTTTTATAAAACGAATCGAGACTGAGTAGCTTGACTATTTTATATATCAACAAACCAAATTTTGTGAACTCGAGTCAAGTTTTTAAGCTCGTTTTTCTAAATGAATTTAAAAAATTATTTAAATTCGACTAGCTTAAAAAATAAACCGAGTTTAAAACGAGTTGAACCTGAGTAACTCGATTCGATTATCAGCCCTAATTATCCGATATCAATATCTATTTTTATGTCTTCAGGTTGAAATTAGACAGTGACATTTAACGTGTAATTTATAATTGCAAATCAATAATTTTCGATAATAGTGACAATTACAAACGACAGTGACACTGTGTCCAATTTACTCTTACGATTGCAATGACCAAATTTTTTTTCCAAAAATTAAACAATGACTTATATTGTTGGTGTAAAAATCAAAACTTCAAAAATAATTTTTCATTTCGAAAAAGGTATTGAATAATTACTCTAACGACCGAAACAAAAAACTCTTTTACAAAAATTGAACAATGACTTATTTTGTTTCTGTTGTGTTTTTGAAAGGTCTGTTGTATCAAATAATTAAATATTTCGTTTTAATAAATATCGGAACATCAAACCTCTCATTTTTGAGACAATAACTTTTGACCTATTTTTCTTCGTGTTTGTGCATATGTTCTCAACAATTTGTCAACGATTTATTCTTCTGTTGAGTCGATTATTAAAGGAATTGGTCGGTCT